TAGTTCTGAACCGTCCTAAAAAGTCTGGTCCAAGACCCGGTCCGGACCCGGTCCTCTCGGACGACTTAACATCCCTAGTTGAATAATGTTGACAGGTTATTTGGCTCAACCGGGCTCACGTGCTGCAAAGCGGCACGTGTTCATTTGCCCCGGTTTGCCAAATTACCGTTATTCGACAAATTTTGCCCAATATCAATTTTTAAATGCTCATCAATTAAAAATTAATATACATAGTTTCAGAATTGTTAAATTATATTGGTTCTTTCGCAATTTTTTTAATTATAATAACCACTATTACTTGTATTTTGACTAATTTCTCGACTAGATACTTCATTTGTAATATTTTGAAAAGGGTTTATTAATTGCATTTCGTAAAGAGATGAACTTGTCGCAATAGAATGTGACATCGGTAATATAGTATTTATGACTTATCTTGTAATAATTACAGCATAAATAAGCTGTAAAATTAAGTGGCGCCTTTGCAGCAAGCAACACTAATTAGAACTATGTCGAGTTCTGGAAAGTCATCAGTCAAATTTGCATTGCACCTAGTACGAGTCACAATTTGGATAACCTTACATATCTATACATCCATTTTTAGCCTTCGAATCTTTACAAAGTTACCTGGTTTTAACTTTAACATATAGACAGCTTGAGTTTTATGGTTATGTTTATCCGATTAACAATTCAATTCCAACTTAAAGGCATTAAGAAAAATATTTAGGCTTTCATGTTCACTTTCTTTTGTTTTTTTTTCGATTATTTATTTAATGTCCAATAATTGTTTTCAAAGGTTTGAAGTGAAAGAAACGAACTAATGAAGTATTCGAAACCCATATTTTTAAAGAAAATTTTTTTTTTAAAAAACATTATATATTTAAATATGTAATGTAAAAATAGCGAACCAAATTTGCAGCTGCGACAGTGGCGTTTTATCACGCGACCCGTAAAACCCTCGTCGTGTTTAATTTTGGTTTCTTATCATTCCGACCTATCATTCCAACGATCATCCGATCCCAACCTGGTTCTTGGGTGCTACAGTATTTTGTTAAGTGCCCATTGCTTTGTTCTCCCAAATTTGATGAATTACATCAGCCCAATCGGACCACATAACGATCATTCCGCTTGTAACCAATCTTTGTGTTATCTGTATGAGTTGCTTTGTATGTGCCATCTTTCATTATTATGCAACTTTTCTCCCTCTTTTTCGTTGCTTCTGACCATATACATCCACTGAACACCGCAGAAAACGGATTTATTGGACCAAAATTTTCGTCCATCGTTGATACCTCTTTTCGCCTTTGACGATTGTAACTGTTATTTAAATCTGACAGCAGGTTTTCTCTCACATCCTCTTACTATTTAATACATAACCTCCGTCTAGATTAGGACAGCATTATAAGTTTAAACAGCATTACAGTAATGGGCAAAAAAGCAAAACAAGATCTTCCACTTCACAAGGTCATCATGGTCGGCTCTGGTGGCGTTGGCAAATCTGCTTTGACTTTACAGTACATGTATGGTGACTTTGTTGAAGAATATGATCCAACAAAAGCAGATTCTTATCGTAAAAAGGTTTTGTTAGATGGACAAGAATGTCAAATTGACATTCTAGACACTGCTGGTCAGGAAGAATATGCTGCCGTATCCTTCTATAATGCAATTAAACTTATAAAATTAATTCTTGAATGCTGTGCATCTTTTGATGATTACGCAATTCGAATACTTATTCAACAACTGATTCTAGATAAAACTTAATTTACGTTACAGAAAATATTTTTTATAAAACAGTTGATATATTTTCTTAACTGATTTCATACGTAACAGATTCGTGATAACTATTATCGTTCTGGAGAAGGCTTCCTCTGTGTTTTTTCCATTTGTGAATATGAATCATTTGTACATACACAAGATTTTAAAGAGCAGATTTCTAGAGTAATTGATGATGAAAGTGTAAGTTAGCATTATTATCTTTTTAGTCTTTTCTTTGAAATTAGTAGATTGCCTTGAACTCTGATATATTTATGTTTTACTTATTTAGATCCCTTTCATTCTTGTTGGAAATAAAGTCGATTTAGCTCAAATACGCAAAGTTTCAAAAGAGGAGGCTATGGCTAGAGCAAGTGAATGGAAATGTGATTATTTTGAGACGTCTGCGAAAACACGACAGAATGTGGAAGAGGTATATAATGAATTAATGAGGAAAATCAAAACGCGCAAAGATACCTATAAAGAGAGGGAGAATATTAATAAGAGGAGAAAGTGTGTGTGCTTGTGATGAAATGGCGGAATCCGTGTAAGATTTTGTTTTATATATATATTTCTTGAATGTCATCATCATGCTTAGGAACAGGTCGTTGTCTCGTCATTCAGTATAGTAGCGGAGTTGCAGAGCTCTGAGCATTTTGAAAGAACTAATTATAGATAATGAACAATTTGAATGGTCATTTCTTCATGGCCACCACATCGGTTTCATTTAGAGTTTTTTTCGTTTTTGCATTTTTTTTTTTTCGCATTTGTTTTTCAGTGTCAACATTACAAGATCGCATATTAATTTAGTTCTCATCAGTTATATCATCGGACAATTTATTTATAATAACTCACTGCAACTTTTTCCTCTAGATTTGTATAACATATCATATATTTAAATATTATTTTTTTTTCTCACACATAATCCATGAAGAGTAATTCATGAAGTTAATTAGTATATTATCATATTATTATCATTGTTAGTATTATTTTAGTATTATTTTTATTATTTTTACAATAACGACCGAGTGTATATTCAGCACGAACTTTCGATGTAATTTTTTGCGTACAAAAATATATTAATAAACGTGTTGCAAATGGATTAATCAAACATAAACTACTCGGGGACCGGTCTGGTTCAGTCCATAAAAGGAAGCCAAAATTCCGGGCCGGAATTTATCGAGACTGTTAGTAACTATATAGTAGCAGGAAAATTGAACAATCACAGCATAGAGGGCTTTTATTATGATTGGCTAATTTTTGTAGATCATTTTGTGACATAACAAAATCTGATTGGCTAATAGAAAATAAGTTCAAAG